CTTCCATTTGGAGCCGGAAGGAGGTCATGTCCAGGTATGAACTTTGGCTTAGCAAATGTTGAGCTTCCTTTAGCACAACTTCTCTACCACTTTGACTGGAAACTTCCTAAAGGAATTAAACACAGTGCAGTCGATATGTTGGAGGGAGAAGGAATAACTGTGCCAAGGAAAAATGGTCTATACTTGATTCCCACACCCTACAACTCTTCCACTGATGGCTGTATATTAATCCAACAAAAGGAGGGTTGAAAGAAGTTTTGAACTTGTTGCCAATGAAATAAACATGCCCAAACCCTTTTATTTCTTAATTTATCTGAATAATTTCCTAGATTACATTAAGTTTCTTCCGTCTTCTAATTCGTGGTAATATTTGTATCATTGTCTTGTATAAGACCAGAATCTATAATTAAATATTTATTAAAACTATTATATATTACGTGTATATCTTGTTAGCTATATTTTATTGTTTTCTATGATGTTAAGTGCTAGGTCTCTATTTATAATTGGCTATTCCTTTGTCAAAATTAAAGTAATGGAGTTGAAATTAAAGTGTCAATGGATTGGTAATATAAATTTTGAAGGAGTCAAAGAGTTCAACTATGTCCAAAAAGATCACATATGATCCATGGGATGCAATTAGAAGTCAAAGTAGCATCAAAGTGCCATAGAAGTCATGCTCCAAATTCTCAATCACAAGTTGCAACGCAATTTTCACATTAAAAATATTCGAATTTAAAAAATGCTACTTCTAAAAGAATTGTAGCCTTTTGAATTAGGTTTTCAAAACATTTTGAATCTCCGCAATTCGATAACGAGAGAGAATTAAAATACTGACAACTACTTGGAGAGAGCTTGTTGGCCGCCCTCTAGGTGCTCGCGCTCCCAAAACTAAACCTTGGTCACTAGCTAAGTGTTAGCCTGACGCTTGAGCGGCTGTGTTATGTGGTGAAACCCTATTTCGCCTTTTTTTTTATCCTTTTTACAATTCTAAACACCTCAAACACTTCATACTATATGTACTCAAGCCATTATTTGTCCCAAACTATCCTGCGCCATTGGTTGAGCTATTATTCATTCAAGAGAACATCCTACAGTGATCTAATATCAATTCTAGTAATCTCGTAATTAACCACAAGATCAAAATGTAAGATCAAAATATCAAACATAAAAAAACATTTACCTTCTCCAATGAGCCTTTGGAGTTTTGAAGTTGGGAAGAGACAACTGGAGTTCCAAAATGAGTTTGTTCTTGGAGATCTATGTGGAGGGAAAAGAAGTCTAAAGTTACTGGAAAGTGCAGGCCGCACAATCGAAGAGTTCTTTGGTTATTTACAAGTTGGGTGGTCAGAATCTACCAACAAAAACAGCCTACGGCAATGTTCAAAAAATGTTGCCGTAGGCCTACGACAACGTTTGGATGTGTGTTGCAAATCGAGGTGTTATCCTAGAGTAGAGAGATACAACAACGTTTTTTGAATGTTGCCGAAAGTCTACGGCAACGTTTGCCAAACGTTGCCATAGATATGTTTTTTTTTTTAATTTATTTAACCACAATTTATTCAAATAGATTGGCAAAATTGAAAATACACTTTATGAACAAAATTTTGGAATTGCATAAATATTGATAATTTCATTACAATTGTTAGAATTCATACACTTGAATATTAGAATGTGATGCAACACCTCTTAAATAAATGTAAGAAACAAATGTACATAAAATCAAAATTATTCCTCAAAACACAGATAATAAATTTCATTTTAACACCACTACGGCTAATATTCCTTGCGCACAATCGATAGTTTAAAGCCAATAACCATTTAAGTATGAACTAACTACAGAAATGCTTCCAAATTGGCGTTCCACTCCTTCAACTGCTGCTGCGATGGTGCTCCCCTGCTCTGCGACCTTCTCCATTCTTAGATTGGTCTTAGATTTCAGGAGCTGAACAATCAAAAGCATCCAGAAAAATCTGGAGATTGTTAATTGTTATGGACATCTCTGGCATTCCATTGAACAGGAAAATAAAACCTTGTGTTTTAATCTTCGAAGCACAAAGGGCCGTAGCACTTGGTGAAGACGATTTATGATCAAAAGATTCTCCTCTTCAGAGAGTAAAGCCTAGTCAAAATGAGCATTAAGCACAAGGAGTTAAAAATTTAGAAAAGGAATAAATGGCAAACGGCCATCTATCATTGTAAAAGTAGGAGGGGCAAGAAGCTTACTTCATCCGGTGAATTGTCACCATTACTTTCAAATGGTTTATTAAACCGTGGGGAAAAATCTTCTGATGAGTTAAAATTATTGGGCAACAAGAAGTTAAACAGTGCCCACGGTTCCTCAGGATTGTTCTACATAGAAGACAACAGGGGAGAGTAAATATATTTTAGCACATACTAACACAAAAAGGTGAATATTGATAGTAGACTTGTGTATTACACAAAGTTGTGTGCTGAGAATAAAGTTACATGTTTATGCAACAGATACTAAATAATGACTAATGTGTTTGAATAAGTGATTTGACTATATGAGACCTGCAAAGGAGTTCCAATCAACAGCAATCTGTGATTACTATGATAATGCTTCAACTCAGCATTTAACTTGCAGGAAGCATTCTTAATGCGATGCCCCTGCAATTCAAAGTAACATATAAGCAGTTAAAGATTAAAAAGGAACTGCAGAAAAATAAGAAAGAAACTGCTAGCTGTTAACATTGCTTACTTGAACAGCCTTCGGCGTTCTGCAGGCAGCCCTGAATAAACAATTTTGTGGATACTTGGTAAGCAGAAAATATTATTATCTCTAACAGTAACTATCTAGATATGGACTTGGTAAGCAAAAAATTAAGCTTTTTATCATTGATTACCTACTTCTTGCAAGAAGTCAGCCACCCCTTTCCTCTCTGGGCATTTGAAACCCATGGATTCAAAAAAATCGAGCACATATTCTCTAGGGCCCTGATAACATTACTATATCATCAAATAATTCATAAGTTTCATAATTTGGATTAAAGAATAATTTTAGGGCACAGAATTTTCATAGTTAGATGGAAGTTAAGAAAACCTTCAATATTTTTTCCAATTATCCGGCACAGAACTATTGTCTGATTGTGCCAAATCAAAATGGACGACCCTGTACAGATCTAAAAACTTATTCTCACATCAAAAAGGGCATCAAGATCAACACCCCTGAAGCTAAACTTCTTCAACGTTCTCTTCTTTGGTTGTCCTGCTACGGTCTCTGGATCAACATCCGCCTGTACAAATACATACAAATACACAATCAGAAAGTGAAATATAATATATCAGTTAGTCTGTGAGTAAAGAAGAAAAGAGGAGATTTACCAATGCTGTTTGAGGAGATGGAGTTCGAGGGAACAAAACTGCTTTCCTTAACGGAAA